GGCGGGTGGCGCCGCGGTTACGAGGGGCAGCTGCGGGGAAGCTGCCCTCGACCTGCGAGGCCTGCTGCTCGAGCGGCTGTCGACGGCGGCGGCGGCCGCCGCGCTCCCCGCGTCGGAGCGCGTGCGCGCCGCGCGCGCGCTCGATGCGATGGGGGCGGAGGGGCTGGCGGCGGCGCCGCTGGCGCGGCTGCTGGCGCCGCTCGCGGCGGAGGGGGGCGTGATGTTAGGCAGCTTGGCGCCAGGCGGGCTGCGGGACTTGGTGTCGCTTCTGAGCAGGTGCACTGGGGACGAAAATGACAGCAGCACAAGCAGCAGCAGCAGCAGCAGCAGCGGCGGCGGCGGCAGCGACGGCAGTGGCAGCGGCTGCGGCAGCAGCAGCGGCGAGGGCGAGGCGGCGCGCGCCGCGCTCGCGGCTCTGCTCGGGCGCACGCTCCACGATGCTTCTTTGAGGGCGGGGCTTGGGCAGTTGGGCACGCCCCATATCGTCGCAATCGCCCGCGCAGCCTCGGACGCCTTGGCAGGGCTGCCTATCGCGGGCGGCGGTGATGGCGGAGCCTGCGGCGCGGCCGCCGCGGGCTTCTTCGCCGTCGCCGCCGGCCGCCTGGCCGGCGCGCGCCCCGGGGAGGTCACCGGCGGCGAGCTGGCGCGCTGCGCGCGCGCGCTGCGGCGGCTGCAGTGGCGCGCGGCCGCGGCTTGCGGCGGCGCGGCGGCGGAGGGCGCGGCGGCGGAGCGCGTGGCGGCGGCGGCGGCGGTGGCGGGCGAATTGTTGAATCAGATAGGCCGGCTGCAGCAAGTCAGCGGCGGCTGGGGCGGCAGCAGCATACTGGGCAGTCCGAGCATGCTCGACAGTCCGAGCGACCGGGGTGGCAGCGGCAGAAGCAGCGGCGGCGGCTGGTCTCCCAGTCCAGGCGGCGGCGCTGCTGCTGAGGGCGACTATTAGCCTCTCTCTAAATAGAGCTCAAATAGAGCGCAGGAGTTTTCGTATCATCCTCCCCGTCATGTCGATGCGTCGTCTGGTCATGTAAGCAGCCGTTTTGACCCGTTATCAACCACCACCATGGTTTCGCTGCATGGGCTGTACACATCATGAACCCAATTTTCCTTTTGGAGCAGCAAGGTCAACCAAGAGAGTAGTACCAGTGTAGATTCAACCATGCGGTTACAGCGCGCGCATAGTCCAAGCAAACATCGTTTGGGCGAGATCAGACGCCAATGGGCGTCGCCGCGCAGACACTCATCAGAACATTGGAGGGGATGAGACGTAGTCACGCAGGCCAGCACGAATGGGGCCGGCACTACATCCATGCCGATCAAAATCTACACTGACTGCAAACAAGATAGGTTTTCTGTCCCTATGTCCTGTGTGGCATCACAACAAACAATCCACTGGACCAGCCGTCCGTGCTGGCAAAAACAACAGACTCGGGCATGGTCATGCTGGACAGATGAGTTGCGCATTGCAGCACTGCGGGTTGGCGCCGCAAGCAGACGCAACAGCCGCCGCCGCCAACAAATCAATGCGCTCTTTGTCACCACAATTACGACAAATTGTTTGTTTGAAAACATCCTTGCCTCCCTCTCACCAAACTCCTCTCGTAAGCAATTGGTACAAATCAGGCGCAGCCGCATGCGGCAAGCCGCGCCGCTGCTGCTTCACGCGACGTTTAGCAATCCACCACTCCTCGCTCTGCCTCTTGAGGTTCGGCTGAAGCCACTCCCTCTTGAGAGCACACCCCCGCCGCCAGCAGCACCCCATCTCTCCTCTCTTCTCAGCAAATCGTAAGCCACTGGCGCCCGTCGGCGAACCCGCCGCCAGCCACACAGGCTGCAACACGCCACGCGACGCCGCCGGGCCCGAGCGACGCCGCCGGGGGTGAACAGCGCCACAGAATGCTCGAAGATGCACGTCTGCAAGTGTGCACTTGTGTGTGAAACAGGAAGCAGGCCCCTAGCGCCGCTCCTTCCTCCGCTGGGCAAGCAGCTCCTCCTTGCTCTGGCCTGACCGGGTGTAAACAGAGTCTGCCGTGACGCTGCGGCCGCCGACCGTCGTCGTCGCGCGGACCCGCATGGCGCCGTCGGGCAGCAGGGTGTAGTCCTCTACCAGAGAGCCTGTGTGTTTGTAAATGAATGTGTAATGTGTGTGCCGAGAAAAGCTTTGGGCAGACTGTGCAGCATGCTTGCGCTCTGCTTCAGTTTCACTCTGCTTCGGTGGATTCAGGGACTGCTGTGTCAAACGGAGCAGGGGGACGATACATGGGGGCGCGACGCAGCGGGAGATGCGCGGCAGAGCTCGTATGGCAGTCAGGTCGAGGTGCCTATGCCGGGGCTGGCGGGGCGCTCTTCGCACTTTCACACTAAGTGCCCAGGCGCGGCAAAGCAACGGGCGATGCTGGGGGGACACCCCACTTGCACCCCACACACAAATATCCTTTTCCTCCTAGCCCGGTGCCTGCTAGCCCCACACCTCCCCCTCTGTCCCCCTGCTGTCCCTGCGCAAACACTGCCCACACCCCCGCACACCGGCACACCGGCGCGCCCGCACGCCTGCACACCAAAACACCCACCTGCCAGCGGCTCCCCCCACTTCATCTCCACGCGCGCGCCGCCCTCCGTGCGGCGCGCGGTCGCCTCCTGGCGGCCTTTCCGCAGGTCCCGCCGCCCCATCGTCGTCTTCGACATGAATGGGAAGCGCTCTGTAACCTTAAAAAACGGCACAACCGTCAGGAAGCTCACTGTCAGCGCCGCCGCGTCCTGCGGGGAGGCGAAGTTGCCGCGGCGCGGGGGCGCGGGCGGGGGTTGAGGGGGAGAGGATGCGAGGGTGGGGCGGGCCACGAGGAGTTAAAGCAGCGGAGGAGGGGACATTGCCTGGCACGCTGCAGGATCCCAAGCTGAGGGGCTGTGAAAGCAGGTGCGTGTGTCAATGAGGCGAAGGGCACGCTGGGCCATGCAAAGGCCTCCATTATGAAATCGTCGCATCGCTTGCTGCACGCGGCGCCGCAGAGCGCCAGGCCAATCCCTGTCAAGCTAATGCAGGATATTGGTGTGGACCCGATCAACACAGGCCCGCTCATGGGCATATAAATCATGGGCATACAAATCAGGGTGCCCGGCCATATCCACAGCAATGTCAAGCCAGCCCAGGAGGGAAGCAGAACCCGGCCCGTGCAACCGCTCACTTGCCGGATCTCGATCCCGTCAATCAGCTTGGCGGTGACGCGCTGGACCCCGTTGATCCCCAGGAGGTCGAGTGACCGTTCGAATGCCGCGAGATCGCTGCGCCGCTCGTCCTTTCCCCAGACCCCCGACAAGTTGGCGCCGACGTCACCACCGCTGCCGTTTGGCGCGGGACGCCCTTGCTGTGGCTGCCGCTGCTGCTGCTCCAGCGCGCTGACCGCACCCGCTGAGTCGCGGCTGAGCGCGTGCGAGCGCACGTCAGGCGCCCACCGGGGCGCGAGGGCGCCGGCCGCTGCGTCGCGCCATGCCGTGGCTGGCACGAGGAAACGCGTCAGCACGTGGCGCCACTGCCGCTGGGGCGCGCAGGGGGCTGAGGTGGCCCGATTCTGGACGGGCACTGAAGGCGACATGGCTCTGCGGTTTGAAAGTGAGGGGTTGGGTATGTTGGTGATGAGATGCTGCTATGCCGACACCCATGCATGCAATGAGTGCATGGACGCTGCACAGAGGCAAGCTTGGCGGCAAACGCATCACGACCACTGCACGGGACTCAAGCCAACAACAGCGCGCTTGATCACACAACATTAGGCTGCACGCATACATACAGGCACAGAAGGCCGGGGGCATGGATGCCAGGTGTGTGGCGCGCACCACTGCTGCGGGTGGCGCACGGCGTCCAGACGGTGTTGAAGCTCGAGGCTCCGGATAAGACGTTTAGATGGGTGGCAAAATATGCGATTGCGGAAATCTTTCTCAGCTGACAGGCCTCAGATAAATGAATGGCGCGCGCGGGTGATGTGTGGCGAACGCTCGCTGAGCTGGATGCTGCGCAAAGCGCTGTCGTTCAAAACGTAGCTGTACACTGAAACCTATGGAAAGGAACCTTGTCACGGTTGCTTCATATGGCAGGTCTTGTACCTGACATCGCGGTCGGCCATTAGGTCAGCAGCTGCACAACCCATTCCACCCCTTCAACTTGTGAGCGCAAGGATGCGCGATGGCCCGCACGGCGTGCACATGTGACCCTTGCATGTGTGTGTCTACGGATTTGGATCATCTGTAATCCATGCTTGAGCAACAGCATGACATGTGGGTGCCTTGCAGCACACCTGCCGGCAAGTCACACAATGGACTGCTCCTTCATCTCTGAGGGGCCAGTGCAAGGGGGTGAGGGGGTGCCTTTGAATCATGGCAATGCTGCAAGCTGAAACAGATATGGGCAGACGAGGTGCATCGAGCATGATGCATGGGGCCGAGGTCACGAGCTACCACAAATCCCAGACTCTGACTTACCTGATGAACGATTGATGGCCGTCTTGGTTATGGATGTAGTGAATTCTCTGCCCTGAGGCCGCCCTGCCTGAAAGGTCCATCATCACCAACGCAGAGGCAGCAGCAGCCTTCAATACTGCCAGGCGGCAGGTGGCTATATCTGTGCGATGTTGATCACAAATCAATCAAATACCTGTGCGCGATGTGAGCTTGGAGCGGATGCCAATTGCAGGCAGAGTGGTAGCAGTGCGTTGCATGATCAATGCAAATAAAATGCAATTTGTCAGGGCTGCAACTCCAGATTGCATGATGCGACAGTTGTCTGAACCTGTACGTGTACCGTAAGTTGCTTTGAAGTCTCTAAGGGCTGTTGCCTTGGCATAACTAATAGGCATATTGTTTACATGTCAAAGCACACATGTTTGACTTTGCAGCTATGAGAGCTTACAAAGATGATTGAGAGGTCACCACAACCAGACATACGTGGTGATATCATTCCACCAAGCTGTAATGATCACAGCTTCAGTCTTGCGGGTGCAAGTGCAGGACACAATCCATTCCGTCTCATTTCAGACAGTCCCCTTCAAGCAGCAGTGCAGGCGCACGCAGCAGGCTGGCCGGCTTAGCTTTCAACAGCCCACCTTACGGTTGCAAATAATCAGTCATGTCTACCTTGCATTGGGTTGCTTGGCCACAGCCCACTCTCAGCGCCCGTTCCACATCAGTGCTGAATGTGCACGTCTGCGGGTGTACATCATGTTTGCAGGATCCCTTTGGAATTGGGGAAGGGATATTCTCAATCCATGTTGCTTACACGCAAAACCAACTTATGGAGCTTTGCTACAGCAGCACCACTGCACAAGCAAGCCATCATCGAAGAATATCAAAGCAGCCGATGAAACAACAAACCCAGCCTGATCCCATCCTGCACGTGCAGCTTTTTCAGCTGTTCGCAGGAGTGCAGTGCTCAAATACAAAAGCACCAACGCAGAATGTTGTGCTGCACCAACTATCCATCACTGCACACATGGCAGCGAAAACGCGCGAAGACTGATGCAGTCTGAAAATCAGTTCAGGAATGTTTCTTTCCCAAATGACAAAGGGCCATTGGGAATAGGTGTGAACACGATGCATGAAGTTGGGTGTCAAATCAGGATGGAAATCCATGGCAGCAGGTTGGTGAGAGCAGTCCCACCAAAGAGAGATGCAGCACGCAGGCTGACGAAGACGAGAGGCAAACTGCCAAGCAAAGATGCATCCTGCTGGGGGCAATGCCACACGATCAGCACACGCCGAACGGAGTGCACCACCCGTTGTTGGCAACGTCCTGCCCTTGTTTGCAACTCAAAGACTCAACACAGCCAACTGCTCACTCACTTAACCTGCCTTCACGCAGTGACGTCGTCAGTGGAATGCCCAGACCATCAGCACTATCCAACTCAGTCTGAACCACCATCATCTGCACAACTCCCCCCCATCCACACGCACCGCACAAAACCGAGGTGCAGTGGGGGTTTGAATGAAGCGTAGTGCAGATCTTCCCCGCACTGGCACAGTGGGACCCATTTCAGGGAGCATCAGCCCAGCAGATAGAATGTCCACCGTACTGCCGAAAAGAGCCATCCTGGCACATATCCAGGATTCGCGGCACCACCGGCACGTCCGTGAGACGCGTTGATCACAGAGCAACTGATCCACTTCTAGTTGTTGTTGGTCGTGAACTCGTGGGTCTGAGCTCCATTGAAGGTGGTTGCCAGCGCACTGTGGAAGGGGCAGCAGTCAACGGATCACACAAGGGTTGTGTTTGATAAGTTGACTGATGCACGAAACACCGCCACGGAGCTGCGAACAGAAGACAGAAACATAACCTAACTGTCAGTCAATTACCACAGCAGGCATGGGTAACATGGGTCGAAGTCAGATCACCCCATCTAGTTGCACTATATCACAAAGCTGCGCGGGCACGTCTCGCCCCTGAAGCCCTGACGCACCTGTCAGCGTTGCCCTGCGTGGCCCTGAACGCGTTGCCAGAGTCCAGGCTGGCCTGGATGTCGCTCTGCGCCTGGATGTTGGCCAGGGCGGTCCGCGTGTCACTGCCGGTCGTGAGGCCCTGGCCAAGCGTCTGCGGTGCGAGCAGGTATCAGGTAGAGGAGTCAGCGGTTGACAACGGTGTGAACGCGCGGGGGCTGGGGACCACCGGCGAGACTGCGCGTTGGAAAAACGAAGCGTACGAAATGATGTTAGTCAGACACGCTGAGGTGTAAACACCACAACCCTTGCAAGCAGGCGAGACTGAGGCTTAAGAGCAGCAGCACCAGCAGGGCGCATGGCCGGCCAGCCAACAGCACCGGCCGTTTGGCAGCGGGGTGACTGTATGCGGAATTTTGGCAGCGGTACCACATTAAACTACATTGTTCAATTGTTGATAAAAGCACGACGGCCCACCTGGTACTGCAGGTTGCCATACTGCTCCTTGGCAGCGTTCAGGGCACTAGAATTGCATAGGCACACAACAGGTAGGTGGCGGTCGGGAGGGGGGGGCATCAGCATCATTGCCAGCGACTGAGGCAGCGCCAATTGTGCGATTCGCGACGGCCTGCTGGGCGCTGCGGGTGGACGAGTACACATCAGGGAAGACGGCGCAAGCATTATTGTGTGCCGGCGAGCGAGGCTGCACCATGTCAGCAACGCACACCGATGAGCAACACACACACACACACACACACACACACACACTGCGGGGAAGACAGAAGCCTGCAACCTGGGCTCACCCTCCGCCGCTGGCGGCGTTGCCGACAATGGCTTGGGCCTGGTTTTGGCCGATGACGCTCCTGTGCAAAAGGATCGCGGCCGGGAGGCGGGGAGGGGGGTGAGGGGCAAGCTGTGGCCTGGGATCAAATTTGATTTGCAACGCCCATGCTGTGATGGTTGTGTGGGGGGCTGGAGCAACATCACATGAACAACATTCATTCGCGACAGATCTATCCAACCTTGAGTGCGTCCGCTGCTGAGCGCAGCCCACGCAAGCGCGCGCCCAGGCATGCCGGCATGCCGGGGGCCTGATCTCGCTCCTCACTAGCATCATGCAACACACAACCCTACAAAGCTCGCTTTTCCCAGAACAGCTTACCCCCTAAAAACCCTGCCCTGTAGGGCAGACTCACACATTTTGCTTTCTCAATCATCTCCAAAGACCCAACCCAAAACCCTACCCCTCCAAACCCCGCACCAACAGAACCAAAGCCCCACCTGGTGAGCGGGTTCTGGCGCCCAGCCTTGGCTGTCTGGAGGGCCACCGTCACGGCGGAGCCGGTGCGGCCCTGCTGCGTTTGGGCCTGGTTCAAGTTGAAGAGCGCCTCGCTTGACGCGCCGCTGCTGTCCCCGCCGTTGTTGCGGCCAGAGTTGGTGCCCAGCCTGGGCGCGCGAGCGGGCAGACGTGCGCGGGTGGGGGGGTCCAGCGTGGGATCGACGTGGTCGTGAGCGGGGGCATGTGTGAACAAGGGGCGTGCGGATCCGATACAGGGATGTATCATTTCCATGCGCGCGCAAGGGCGCGGGTGCCGTTGTAAGGGATCTGTGGAGGCTCGCAAGCGGGATTGCTGTTGCCGCCGCACGGGTCGGGTCAGCCTGCTCTGAGCGTTGTGTGCAAGCAGGTACCTAAAACGTGAGTTGCGTGCGCAGCGCGTGCGCGTGCTTTTGTGTGCACAGGTTGTACTTAGAGGCAACAAATCCCATGCATCCTCAGCCTCCTGGCACATCCTGCACGCTTTGCACCACACGCCCTTACAGGCTCTTGCAAGCGCTGCGGCGTGCATGCATCAACAAGCGTCACACTTTTTGAATGCAATTGAGGAACCACAAAGTGGGGTCACGCTCACTGTTGCTTGAAGACGGGCGTCTTGTGCTGGGGTTGGGGTGCGCCCGGCAACAGTGGCAGGATCGAGGCCGGCTGCTGTCTCAGCGCCCGCGCGGCTGCGGAAGAGAAGGGGTGGGGGGCCGTGGCGCCAGGGGGCGCGAAGTGCGGGGAAGAGGGGTGAGGGCACAGCACCCGCGCGCGGTGCTGAAGCAGGGTGCTGCACAATCCCCTGGATTCGGGCCTCCCTTATGGCCTGTCATTGGGCTGGTGCACTCGGAATGGGCGCCCAGCTCGGCCGGCCGCATGGACAGGTGCGTGACATCACGCAAAAGCTGACTCAGCTGCCGCGCATGGGCGACGGGGGGCTTACCCGCGGCAGACTGGGCGAGCGCGAGGGCTAGGAGCACAGCGATGGTCATTTTCATGTTCATTATAGCGGCTTCGAAACTGAGAGGTGCAAAAACGAAATCGGCGCCGGTGATCACGGAACGACTTTCGTAGTTTGAGGCGCGCGTAGCGTGTGTGTCGAACACAAAGCCTGATGTATGAGCTATAATTGACAAAAAGTCTATCTATATGCGCGATCCGGCACAAATGTGTGATACGAGCGCCCAAGCCAGCTCCATCTGCCAGTGGTGGATCCTCTTTTCCCTGCCGCCGTCGTACCTGAAATGTGCTGCAGATGCCCTATTTCAATGCGCAGATGTAAATTTGCATTATATCACCCGGTATTGCTGCCAGAACACCGTGGTGCGCCCGTCCTCAGCCGGCATTCACACCCGTGACCACGCGGTGTTAAGCCATTGATGAACCCCGCGGCGGATTACGACACCCCTCCCGCCACAGCGCCGCCGCCGCCCGAGTCATTTTTCAACTCAGCTCTTGCGAGACCGCACCAGCTCCATCACAGCTTATAGTGCAAGGCGTTGCCCCTCAAAAGAGCGAGAACGCCGCACCAGACAGCACCCCTGCCGGGGACAGGCAGGCAGCATGACTCACACCTGCTCGCGCCGCCCAACGCCGCAGAGCGCCGCGCCGCTGCTCGTTATTGCGGCGCCAGCTGCTCCAAGGCCCGCTCCCCGTGCCGCCGGCGCTAGTGGCTAGCTGTGAATGGCCAACTGGCGCCTGCGGTGTGGTCGGTTGCCACACACCCTCTTGAGAAACCGCGGCTGCAAGCGGATGCGTGGTCAACAACGAATCACTTTTCTTCGAATTGAAACAGACTGCTCAGACTGCTGTGCGCCTCGTGGCCGCGAGCCGCCCTTATGCCGCTGCTGTTCGTCGCACGCTGGTGCAACCTGCCTAGTTCAACGGAAACATTCCTGTTGGTAGCTCCTCTTCAGCACCCCTACCCACGCACAGTCACAGATCAGTGATCATTACACATGCAAGGTTGGACCAAAGGTGGAGCAAGATTTTTTTGATTTCTGCCTGATACGCCTCCGTCTGACGCCCGTTCGCGGTTCACAGGGCGGGGACAGGCACGGCCGTGTGGCGGTCGCAAGCGTGGCGCCAACGCACCCAGACGCTGTGCCTCGCTGTCTTGCTTTCGGCGGCCCCAAGCGCGCGCCGGCCGAGCCAGAGGCGCGGTGCCGCTCGCATGGCGCAATAGAGTGGCATCAGCTCGTCATTGCAGCGTGGCACAGCTATGCCCGTCAAGTTGCACTTGACATTAAATACGCTTGGGCGAGTCCCCCCTCCCCCAGACTCTCGAGCAAGGGTTGGGGCCACCAAGCATTTTGCTGCTCTGTACGTATTGTAGGTAGGGACATACACTGTGATATTATTGCCCGGTGTGCGCAGTCATCTCATGAGTTACACAGGGCGATGCGCGGCATTGCCCGACAGCGTACACACAAAGTCACACGCACATACACTCACGCGCACACACACATACAGACAGACAGGTGCACACACTATACACACTCATTGTGGGGTTGAGGTTGACAAAATCACGGAAGGTTGCTGCCTATGTACAGGCGGCAGCTCCCCAGGTGCTTGATCACAGTTTGACACGGTGACATGAAAACGTGTGTGGGCAAGGCCTTGAGCCTGGGTTGTTGGTTGCCAGCTGGAGGGACCTCCAGCAGCATCCCAAGAAACCGCGCGTTCCCCCTCCTGAAATCGATTTCAGGAGGAGCTGCTTTGCTTGATATCAGGCGAAGCAGCGCCACAGCCGGCGCCGGCGCTCTGCTGGGCGTCGTCGGACACGTTGGAAACCTGTTGTTGTGTTGCTTGTCAAATGCAATATGTCGTGACGTGAAGAGAGTATCGGAAGACGTACGGTCGGGGTGTGAGCACGCAGCCGGAGACCCGAGCTTTGGGCAGCGGCGCGCAGCATCCCCCCTGCCCTGACAAGTAAAGACCCTTGTTTGCGAGTTGTTTGAAAGGAGTGGCGAGGGCCCAGCGGGCGCAGCGCCATGCATGCGTGGTGGCTAAGGCCTGGGGAGTTTCCACGCCCGCGGGATCCAATAATCAAAAGGAGCGCAGGCAGCTGCGCCGCGTCGCGGGCGGCCGCCGCGGGGCGGTGCTGGGGCCGCACGCCACGAGCTGCCGCTGGGGCGCCGGCGGCACGCAAGCCAGCAATATGCGCCGGAAGGGCGGGCGGCCGCGCATGATCCAACTGAACGAAATTTAGTCCTGCAGCCTAAGCCATTGCAGATGGCCACGCGGCTTCAGTCAGGGAGCCGCGGCTGCTCCGCCGCAGGGGCGGGCTGGGCATGACAGGCGACAAGGGAGGCTTTTCGACAGCGCACCCAGTCAAACGCAGGCGGGAGGAGGAGAGAAACAGCTCTGTAATCAAACCTCATCCTCTCAAAATGGGTCGAGCTTTAGACGGATTGGTTGGTGTAGAAACGCAACAGGGCGCAGGGAACGGCGCGCCTCGGGAGGAGTGGCGCGCGGCTCCCCAGAGGTACATGCGTTGGCAGCTGCCACGGCGGAAGCTTCTGGTGTCCCAGATGCGCTCCGCAGCCGTGTGCGCGGGGGATGCGTAAGCGCGTGGCATACCTTTTCAGACATGCTTCATGCGCGGGGTCATTTCGACGCCAGGCGGCGGCTTTGCGCCGGGCGTCTTGCTTTCAGGAGGCAGCTTCCCAGCTGCCCTCGGCAACACAAGTGCTGGAGCGGACGCGGATGGCGGTGTGCGAGCCGCGGGCACGTGCGAGCCCGCGGCTCGCCGTTGGCGGCGGCCGCGGGGTGCCTGGCAGCCCACCGCCGTCAGCGGCAGTGGGTGCAAAGGCTGGCATCAAATCATGAGAGCGTACACAGGAGATGTCTTTCCCAAAAGGTTGGCCTTTGGGAAGAGTTGGGGCAACTGGGGGCAGGCAGCCAGATCAAGGGAGCGCCGCGCTGCGACTGCACAAGCGGGAAGTTTGGTAGGATGTCGAGTGTCCACGAAATGCGTCGCCGCAACATCGCAGCTCGCCCGCTTGCAGTCGGGCAAACGGCGGCGCCGCTGAAGCTGAGGGGGTGCCGCGGCTGTCTCTTGCGCCTGCTGGCGCCAACAAGCGGTGACGGGAATGCAGCACACGCCACGTGGGCGGCGTGCGCCGCCAGGTCTCATGCCTAAAAGCACACACGACCACGCCGCTGGGGCCGCCCTCGCCGGCGGCCCCGCCCAGCAACCGGACGGCGTGCGCGGGCCTCCTCCGGACGGGCGGCGGCGCGACGCGTCGGCTGCGTCGGCTGACCGCTGGGCGAAGGGTCTTGCGGTCGTTTGGGGTACCTCTTAGTTGGTCCACTGGTGGGTTCGGTCCCCGAAAACTGTGGCGAAGGCGCTGCAGAGCAGAGGGCGCGGCGATGCGGGGCGGACGGAAGGTGAGGGGACACAGGGGGAGGTCTGCCGGCAAAGCCCCGCTTTGCGCGCCGGCGGGCGGCATGGGGGGTTGCTCGCATGCATGCGCCGGGTGGGGGCGTTTTTTCTCGTATCATGAGCCGAGTGGAGCAGCTGAAGCCAGGCCTGAGGGATGCAGCCGGAAAGCTTGCAAGGGCGCCCGCGCGGCGGCAGGATGCATGGACGCACGCGTCCGAAAACCGGGCCCGCCCGCGGCCCGGTCCCCGCCCGCGCCCGCTCACTTGTCAGACCCGCCCTGTGCGGCGGTGAAGGCGTCGCCGTTGTCAATGCTGGCCTGGATGATGCGCTGGGCGTCGTTGTTGGCGAGGGCGGTGCGCGTGTCGCTGTTCAGGGCGAGGCCCTGGCCGTGCACCTGTCGGGTTTGAAATTCAAATGCGATTGGGGAGCAAATAGGGTGGGCGGTTGTTCACGAACGGGAAGTGGGAGTTGGGAGTTGATTAGGGGTGGATGGGTAGGGGAGGGGATGAGGGGAGACAGGGTGTTTTGCGGGCAGACAGATGGGCCGGTCGCGCTGCGTTGGGGTTTGGAGAGAGGCGCTGCTGCAGGCGCCCTGGCCCGCCCGCACGCTGCTTGCGACCCCACGGGCGAGCGAGGCAGGGCGTCTTCGCGGCACGCGCGGGGGCCCGCCGCTGTCATGCGTTAAGTGCGGCCACTGGCCCCAGCGAACGGGGTGTTGGCAGCACGGGGCCATTGCACGGAGCAGCTCCATCCCAAAGCACACCATGTTTCGTATGCATAGCACGTAACACACATGCTTGCCCCACCTGGTACTGCACGTTTCCAAACGCCTCCTTAGCAATCTCGCGGGGGCTGTGGCCGCACGCGAGCACAGGCGCAGGGTACGGCCATGCGGGAGGGGGGGATCAGTCGTGGCGCGAACGAGCCGTGGCGGGTGCGGCGCGCCTGCGGCTGCGCTTGCGCCTCACGGAGCACCCAGCGAGGCGGCAGGAAGCTGCGCGGCAGGTGCGGACTGCCGCGCTCTTCCTTTGGAAAGAGGATTGGGCGGTCATCGCGGGCAGGGTGGGGGAAGGGGGGGAGATGGCGCGATGAGCAGCTGCCACGGGTGCGCGCACTCACCCGCCGTTGGCCGCGCCGCTGACGAGGGCTTGGGCCTGGTTCTGGCCGACGGCGTCCCTGGGAGTTTGCAGCAAAGACGTGGGATGCGGGCGGGGCGTGCGAGGGGAGGGACAGTGAGATCATCATGTTAGCTCGCCGGGGAGGCGGGGTGAGGGGAGGCAAAGGGGAGCCAGGTTGGCAGCGCCCCAAGCCGGCTGACTACAGGCCGCAAGGCTGCCGAGGTGAGCCGCAGCCTGCCGAAAGGCAGGGGATATGAGCGTGCACTGCATGGCGTGCGGCCACCCAGCTCAACGCATGAGCCACGGCGCCCAACACAGTCCACCTCGAACGCCCGTAACCCCCTCCAAGACCCCGTGCCGCCAGACCGGTCTGCTGAGGAAGCCGCCCCGAAGCTGCGCGCACCTGACCGCAGCATTCTGGTGGCCGGCCACGTCCGTCTGTAGGACCACCGTGGCCTGGGAGTCGGTGATGCCGCGCTGCGTCTCGCCCTGCACCACGTTCTGCAGGAGGTCGCCGGCGCCCCTGCCGTACCTGCAAATCGGGGACGCACGCGTGCGTGTGGAGGTGGTGGCGTGCGGTTTTCGAGTTGATGACTAGCAGCAGTTTCAGGGGGCCGGACACGATGCAGGCCGCCAGCATGTCGGCGCGGGATTCGTGCGGCAGTAGCGGGGGCTTTGGATGGGAAGGCGGCACCGGACTAAGTACGGGACGGATGCGGAGCCTGGGCTCCGGGGGGGGGGGGGCGCAAGGGCTGGGGAAGAGAGAAGGCGCGGCACGCGGCGCGCGGCGCGCGGTTCGGGGGCGGCAGGGAAAGAGTGAGGGTGCTGTGGGCACAAGGCCTGCCCCACCTGTTGTATTCAGGGGTGGCTTGCTGGGGCTGGGCCGTGCCCCGCAGGAGGGGCACGCTGTACTGCTGCTTGAGCAGGCGTGAGGCTGCGGTTGAGGAGGGGTGGCAAGTATGCAATGGGGGAGGCGGGGCGAGGGGCCGCGCAAATCAGAGGGGGCCGGGCGCGGCGAGGGCGTGCGTGGTCGCGAAAACGGGGTGGCCGCGAGGGCGCCGCGGGTGCAGTGGGGTCCCAGCAGATGTGGAGGCATGATTCAGACGCCAATCCCTGTTTGCAGTGCTTTCAGCCGGGGCGGCATGCAGGACAGGATGGTAAAAGGCCCAAATGGGGCAGCTGGTGCCACCTAGGCGCCAGCGCGTTCGCGGCTGGGCCTCACCCGCGGCGTTATGGGCGAGCGCCAGGACCAGGAACGCGATGGTTAGTGTCTTCATCATCTTAGTGGTCTGAGACACCCTGTTCGAAACCTTGCGTGGTGTCGAAAGTGGCGACGCGGACTCGGGAGAACGTACCGAGATGATCGGAAGCGGAGTGTATATGATGTGCGCGTAGGCGGGGACGATTGAATCTAATTGTACAAACGAATGAGGCGTCGCACTATGTAGCCGCATGAGCGTAACCCGCAGCTAGGACTGCCAGCCAGCTGCCGCGTGCCGGTGGTCGCCGTTTCATAATTCTGAACGCCAGCCCGCGCCGCGCAGAAAGCCCCCATATATGCATAGCGGCCATTGCTCCAGGCATCCTGCACCCCGTACGCAGCAACACTGCACTTCAAAGCCGTACGTCACCCCCGATCGCGGGGTGACTCTGCCCGGTGATGAAGCCGGCATAAGTGAGGGAAGCTGCCGGGTGCGGGGCGGCCGCCCCAGCTGGGCTGCCCGGCGCGCCTTCCCGTCCTGCACTCAGCCGTGCTGTCCAACCGCAGAGCGCCCTGCGCCACGCAACGCCGCCCCCGGCGCAACGGGCGGTGGGGTTCGCCCCGTTGTCCTTGGCGTTGCCGTCAACCCTTCATCGCGACAGCGCCGGGCGACGGCGGCCTCACCCGCGTCCACGTCCGCCTGACGCAAGCATGCTGCCACTCAGCCTTGCTTGCCACGGCTACCTGCCACCGTGCTTCCTATTTGCCACGCGCCACTCGCAAGTGCTGGTTCCCCCACCTACAGGTAGGGAACCAAGCACATACTACATAAAACTAGAAATGAACACTAACATGTGTGGCTCCCCAACACCTCAAGCGGGACGGCCGCCACATACAATGCGGTTGCATCGCTGACAGTGGAACGTTCCACTGCCGGCGCTCAGTCACACGGGCAAGCGGAGACCACGAAATCAGCCCCGAAAGGCAGCTAGCGGGTCCGCAGAGCGAGCGTTCCACAAACCAGCCGCACAGTGCGTGAGCGCAACGCTGACAAGCAGGCATTCAGAGCAGAGGGCCGCCCAGCTCACCCCAGAAAAGCACATGCGACGGGTCTGCAGCAAGGCCCCACGCGGGCTGCTTCTCGGCGCGAACGCCGCTGCTGTCCGTGTGCTGATGGCGGCCGCACTCTCTGGCCGCCGCCCGCGCCGCGCCCTGCAGCGCTGTATGTTGGGGTTCGTGGGTGCTTAGGTGGGTGGGCGGGTGGGCACGTGAGCTCGCCGCAGCATGGCGG